TGTAGCGGGATCAAAACTTTCATGAGGAACAGTCGGTGCTCGGCCTTGAGGGGCAGGGCAAAGCCGTTGATGATGCTGCCCAGAATCTCCAGCAGTTCCCCAACACCGATAAACTGTTCCGTTTCATAAATAAACCTGACCAAAAAAACAAACACAAAAACACAACAATTATAAATAAATCCCACCAAAAAAATCCACAACAATCATAAACAAACTTGATACAAAAAACCCACCAATCATATATAAACCTGACAAAAAACCCACAAAAACCCACCAATCATATATAAACCTGACAAAAAACCCACAAAAACACAACAATCATATATAAACCTGACAAAACCCCCCCCCTCACAAAAAATCATAAATAAACCTGATAAAAACAACACAATAATCATAAATAAACCAGACTGTATTGTTCTCTAGAATAAAAACCAGCAAAATGTCTCCGCTCAAACCATGTTTTGGTGACAAAGTTCTAGCACTCTACCAATGACCTAACTCTACCAATGACCTAACTAAGCCAGCGTTTTCCTCCGGTTGTTTGTACGACAGGTAGGACCAGGCACTCCTCACGCTCCGGACAAATGGACTTACCAAACTAACACTCCGGACAAATAGACTTACTGCCACCAAACTAACACTCCAGACAAATAGACTTACCAAACTAACACTCCGTGCCACTAAACTAACACTCCTTTATTGTTCTGGAACTTGGTAAAACAAATATTGCTCCATCTTGCACAAAAATGGAGATAAGATATATATGTGCACTGGAAGAAAGCAGGGCTTACCAGATGTTGCAGGTGAAATTACAAAAAAAATCTCAGCAAAAGTTGGGCCACCATTACAGCTAAATACTTGTACAAGATCTACTGCACTAAATTGGCTTTCAACAACCTTTTTCTGGAAAACTCACCCTCTAATGTGTTCTGCAAGGGATGGAGAAGATTCATGTGCATAAAAAAATCTAGATAAAAATTGCATAGGAGTCGGAAAAATATTAATTTCCCAGTTCCCTAATATTTGACGAGGGCTTGATTTGACCCTGTTGACTATCTTTGATGTTACCAACAATACTGGCCACAGAATCTTACCTGAGGAAAATGTTGTTAATTTGTTTCCTAATAAATGCTCTCAGGCCCAAAAATTTCCCATATATCCTGTGAAGAACAGTCTTGAGAAAATCTCTCTCTCGTGGATCTTCACTGTCAAAAAGCTCCAGTAGCTGGAGAAAAAAAGTTGAGAAAATCCCAGGTGAACACAAGCAAAAAGCAACCAGAGTAGACACAATGAGACAACAGCTCTCCTCCTCCATCAACTCTCCTCCTCCATCAACTCTCCTCCTCTCCTCCTCCAAGACAACACCCGGTAAATCAATGTTGACAAAGACGGTACATAAATTCTCCTCAATCTTCCACTCAATCAGACAAAAATGTTCATTAGTCTATTATAGATAGAAGACTCGAAATCATGCATCTGTCAAACTATGCCTGCATTCCCGTTTTTTTCGTCTTCTTTATCTTTATAAGACATCCCTGGAACTACCGAGGCCGATTCCAAGTTCCGAGCTATCTGTGCTCCACTGTATATATGTGTGTCACGTCGCGGAACAATTCGGCGCCCGTCAAGTTTTGGCCATGTGGAGGTGTTGGTATCATCTGACAGCTCATTTATTTGACTTGCTTCCAATAAAATAAATATCCATTTATCTTGAACAGAACTCAAGATATCTGCTATTGAAGGAAGTGAGGTTGCCTAGTTTCAGTGGTGAAATAAGCGAGTAAATAGCTGCCAAAGTTTGGTAACTCCAATAGCTAAAGAGTCTTTGAAAACAAAAAAATGACATATTTTGTGCCTTTCATCAATGGAGGTCTTTTCCAGTAAAATCAACATGACAATGTATTTTTATACGGACGTAAAAGAGGTAAGCCAACAAATAAAAACTAGACAAAAACTTCCAATTTGGTGAAGAAATGCCTGTTTCTCATATGTCGTTATTTTGACCAGCGCCTGATTTTATCTATATGTATATATATATATCACACACACCTACTTGAAGCACAAATCTTTGGTCTATATATATATATAATATACACCTACCTGAAGCACAAACCTTTGGTCTATATATATATAATATATACCTACCTGAAGCACAAATCTTTGGTCTATATATATAATATATACCTACCTGAAGCACAAACCTTTGGTCTATATATATATAATATACACCTACCTGAAGCACAAACCTTTGGTCTATATATATATAATATATACCTACCTGAAGCACAAATCTTTGGTCTATATATATAATATACACCTACCTGAAGCACAAATCTTTGGTCTATATATATAATATACACCTACCTGAAACACAAATCTTTGGTCTATATATATAGTAGTAGTAGTATAAGGTTTTACGGCGCTCGCAACTGCTAAGGTCATATGAGCGCGCGAAACACAAGTTGCTCACCTCTGC